AATTAGAAGGATAAAAAATATTTTAATTTTCTCTTGATATGATAGAGAAGAAAGACAATAAATCTACATTCTCTTATTTGCTATTAAAAGTGAAACTAAAGGGATGAAAATTATTATTGATGTAATTATTTTTTTACCCAAATAAAGACAATTTAATAATTTAATTTAATTTATATAGTTATTTATATTTTTCTTCTTAAAATTCACTCACTTTCATAAAGATTGAATATGACGAGACTCACCAATAAAACTTTCCATTCAATTTTCTTTTCCTTCACAATTTTTTTTCTACTAAACAAATTAATTTTTTTAATTTTCATCCTAAAATCCCTCTTAACATTTTATTTCTTTCCATTTTTCATTCATCCCAAAATGGAGGATTCAAAGTCAAAATTAAAGTAAACTTGCCATACTTTAACATCGAAATTCAAATTATAAGGGGTTATTCTTTTAGAGTATAACTTGAGTGTAATTTTTGAGTTGAATTTGAGTTATAACTTGTGTTGAAGTTAGAACTTGAATAAAGTTGAGTAAAATTGAATAAAGTTGAAATTTAAAAGAACGTGAACTTGAATAAAGTTGAAACTTGAGTTGTCTTTTTTTGAGTTTTTTAGACAAAAGAACATACCTAAGAAACTAACCCTATCCTAAATTTGAAATCAAATCTAATATAAAAGAATCAAATCTAATTTGAAAAAGGAAATATTAAATAAAAATACATCTTAACATTTGAATTTAAAAACGAAAAATGGCTGGGTCATGCTGCATCAAGGTCGGAACTTCATCATCGAAGGGGAAAAAAGTAGCAATCTCTCTCTTCCGGCGGGTCTCCGACGATCGAATTCTGCGAAAGATGTGACAATTAACATGGATGGGAAGTAGGAACCACCGCTGGACCTGCCTTAGGGACTTGCCGGCAATTTTGGCTACAAGGCGGATCTCCGGTCTTCTTCTTGCCACCCGGCCCCGCCTTTGAACATGAAAAATTCTACAATTTACAGATGTAGTGCTGGCCGAGTGAAAAAGATTTGGAAGGAAATAAGCTCCAAAATTGCTAATATTTCAAACTTTGAACATAGAACATATGGACTTCAACATGGACATCCATTGTATGTTTTAAAAACGTTTCATCCAGCGGATAAAAAAAAACGTTTCATCCAAACTTATTTGGCTCTTCTGATTTCTGGATTGACGAACTAGAAAAATTTAGGGCTGCTGAGAGCTGAAGGATCCGTGGTCCTTAATGGTTAGTAAAGTACTATATTCATAATTATAATTTAAAATTATTTTTATTATATATATATTTTTTATAAAAAAAAAATACTATAAAAAATTATAAATTATAATTCAACACAGAAATGAATACATAAAAGAAAATAAACGGTAGCCTAAAAATATAATCTTTAAGCTTCTGACAATATCCTCTTCCTTCTCCACATTTTCTTCGTATTACTTGATGCCTGGTCATATCTCTCTTTAAGAAGATTAGTTTTGCTTTTCTTTTTTTTCAAAAAAAAAAAAGCTATGCACGTTACATTTGTCGAACGAAGAAGACGAAAACAATAAAAAATTTAAATTAAAGGAACTTGATGTGTGATGAGAAATCCTGAAACAGGAGATTCAGGAAAAAAAAAAAAATGTTAGAGAAAGACGTTTGAAAGAGAAATTTGTGCCATAATTTGAATTATAATTCGTGATTCGTTATAATATTTATTCTCATAAAAAATATATATAAAATAAAAATAATTTTAAATTTATAAATTAATATTATTACATTAATTAATAAAAAATACTATACTTATTAATAAAAAAATTATCCCTCACATGTTACTACTTACATTTCTCTTTTTAAGTCGTGGAATGAGAGATTTTCTCTAAGCAATCGTGGAATGTGACATTCAGCAAGGAAAAAAAAAAAAAAAAAAAACCCAAGGATCAGGGAAGGATGGATTTTCTCAGATTTGTTTTAAAAGATATTAAAACCAATTGTGGGACCACGCGGATAAAAAGTTAAGAGAGAGAATTCTTGTGGGCCCCGTGGAAATAAATGCATCTCATTATGACTGATAATTCATATTAACGTAACGATTATGACACGACATAATATAAAAAAAAAATACGTTTATGATCTGTATATAACTCAATTAGTAAAAATAATTAAATTTTATATTGTACTCAAAATTAATATTAATTAACTATTTAATATCATTTGTAGTTAAAATGTGATGACTATATAATAAAAAATATATAAATTTTTTAATTCTTTTTAATTGTTAACACACATAAAATAAATATAAAAAAATGTCTTATTTAAGATTGAATGTCTAATTATGCTCTAAAAATTTTCAGTTGCTTAAACATATTCATGGAAAAAGAAAACATTTTATTAAGGAAGGAAATTTGTAGCATGGGCATGCCACAATTTATTCGTAAGATAGAAATATAAAAATCTTCATTGTTATACTGTTACACTGAGTAAAAAATGAGTGAAGAAAAAATAAACCTCAAAAAAATCATCCTAAAAAACAAACCAAACTTAAAATATTGTTTTATTGTTAGTTATTTAGTTATTGGTCATAGACAATTCATATAATTACTTGTAAAACTTAGTTTATAGATACGGAAGAGCATTATAATATTATATATGATATATATGCTAAACAAGCAATGTCAATATATATAAAAAAAATTTATGTTATATTTCATTGCATTTGAGGTGTTGAGATTGTGAGAATTTTGAAATGAACCAGAAGTGGGCTCATTGATATCCAAAGTAAAAATATATTCAGTAATTTCATTCACAGCCTCACGAATTGATTTGTTGTTTTCTACACATAACAAATAACTTATATGATTAAGATAACATAAGCTAAGTTAGTAAATAAACAAGAAATAATAAATACATCTTTATCTCCAAATAGCAAATCCTTAGCACAAACCAATACCTCAACTATGTCAAATTTAAATGAACTCCTATATTGATCCAATAACTAAACAGTTTAAGTGTGTTAAATGGATTTGCATGAATCCAACCTATTTATTTTCTTGTTATTTGTGTCAATCCGTTAACGACCCAATTAATAATCGTGCGGTCTAAACTCATTTATCTCATGTCGTTTTCGTATCATTTTATCGTGTCGTGTCTAAAATTGTCGGCCCTAATTCTCATGTAAGGGGATCTATATCATCCCCTCCTGTTTAGTAGATGTATACATAGTTTTGAGTTTTTTTTTTGTCAAGAAAATGGATAGAGAAAAAGAGACAAATATCACTTAAAAATGTATATGTTAAAATTTTTATCATTTAATCTTGATTAATAATTTTTTTAATTAAATAACTATATTAGCATCAAGGTGTTAATCAAAAATAAAGAATAAAAATTCAGACTTATATACTATTAAATGTAAATTTATAATTTTTTCAAATGGTGTGTGTCTAAGTAGTTGTGACTTGTTATTGTGTTAATTGTAACATTTTTTAAAAGCTGAAATGCATTGTTACATATCAGCACCAAAATAAGTACGCATTAATTAGTGGGAAGACATTGGTAACTTGACAAACAACTCAATTTGCCTCAATATTTTTAGGGTGATGTTGTCTAAGCGAATTTAGCCGTTGGATTTTGTTAAATGAAATCGGACGGACAGGATTAAATGCGTAGGGTGTAGATAACGTGTTTTGAAAAATGAAAAAAAAAAAAAAAAAAAAAAGATTCCAGATTTGAAACTTGTGCAAATGATATTTAAAGCGGTTTCATTAATTTCATTATATATTGAGACCGTGTTAATAGTTAATGATGACATGGGAAAATTTAATTGTCCATGAAACACTGATAACATAACTAGATTATGGTAATTTTCCTTCGTTATTAAGAACTGTGGATGTATACTTATATATATGAATGAGAGTTCCATTTTTTACCGTTCAAAAACATGGTCCGTCTATTTTGTACTAACGTGCTTCCTTTTTTATGTTTTATATCACTTAAATTTTAAAAAATATTAGTTTGGTAAAAAAGACTCAATAAATTTGTCATAAATTCTTTTATCAGATTTTGTTTGTGTTCTTTCCTTCATCAGATTTTTTTTTTTAAAAATTTAATTCTTCTCTAAAACTAGCTTCTCTTGTAAACTACTTTCTTTTCTTTTCGCACATATTAATCTAACTAATATATAATATTTACTTTAAATCTTTTATACATAAAATTATATCGTCCTGTGGTAAAATAAATTAAAGTTTAAAAGTGAATTCATTATTTTCTCTATTTAGAATAATTCATTACTTTTTTAGTATCTATTCACTACTAAAAATTAGGGCCCGTAATATGGGTAACGATACGACTCGAAAACGACACAAATTTTACGGGTTAGAGTTGAGAAAAAAGAGGTTCCGGTCAGAATCGGGTCGACCTGAAATTGACACGAAAAATACGGGTCAATTCGGGTTGGACCTGCCTAATCCGAACACGACACGAAACTTGTAAAAAACTAAAAAATACATACATTTTTCATTAAATATTTTAAATTTTATTATGAACTTGTGATATCATGATAGTTATATTCAAAATCTTATACTATTATTTGCTTAATTTCAATGGATGTTATTGTAATTTGGTGTGTTATGAATTTTAAGTTATTTCTAATATGTAAAAAACTAAATAAAAATATACAATTGTCGTATCAATTTCGGATTCATAGGTCAATTTTATGTCATGGGTCATTTTCAGGTCGTGTCGTGTCAACTCGTAAAGTGGTCGTGTCGTGTTCGCGTTGCGGTTTTTAAAAAATTTCGTATCATATATCGTGTTTGAATTGACTATAAATTTTAAAAAAATAATCAAAACACGACACAAATATAATAAATAATACATATTACCATTCATACTAAAAATAATTGATTTAACAACGTTTATTAGACGGTGATATTTATCGGTCATCTATTGTTCTATAAACACACGACAGGGGAATTGAAATTGAGTCCTGTCACGGTCGTGTCACAGTCGTGTTTCGGGAAGTCTCGCGCTGTCGTCTATAGTTTAACATTACTTGACGGTTTCATGTTATCGTCTAATGTGAGCGTGGACTTCAAATTGAGTCCTGTCACGACGGTTTCCTCAAACTCCGCCGTCATCCAGCCATTCCTCTCATCCCTCTCTCTCTCTCTCTCTCTCTCTCTCTCTCTCATGCGTACACGAACTCCACCGTCAGCTTTCCGCCATCATTACCCGTGATGTTTTCTCTCTCTCTTGTGAACTCCCTCTTTACTCTCGCCTCTCTCTCTCTCTCTCTCACAAAAGCTGCCCGAAGACCTGCCGCCTTCGTGACCCGCTGTCACCTTCGACCTTCGTGACCCGCCATCGCCTTCCGCCTCTGAGACCTGCTGCCAGCGCTGTCGCCTCCTTCCCTGGTTGTAGGTTTGGTTTTAGGTTTAATTTTAAAAATTTTGAATTACTTATTAATTATTTTTTAGAGATTGACATTAGACGAAAATTTTAGGTTAGTTTTTTCCTTAGGTGATTATTAGACGACAATTTTTTTTTTTCCTTATTGTTATATAAATTGATTCTTAGATGTTTAGTTTTGCAAAAATAATTTTTTGATGAAATCTTGATTAGTTTAGGATTAATTTTATTTAAAATATATACATATATATTGATTGTTAGATTAGGTTAGTTTTATGTTGGTTATTTTGTATTTTTGTTATTTAGTTCATCTGGTTTAAATATTGATTCTTAGATATATTGATTCCTCTATGTTTAGTTTTATTTGAACATGTTTTTGTTAAATGTTGATTAGTACAGGATTAGTTTTATTTAAATATGTTGATTAGTAGAAAAATGTCAAGACGTGAGGTATTTGAACAAGAACAAAATACAGAGCATGATTTGTTTGGTGATGAATGCAGTTCCGATGAGGAAGAAAGATTTGAACTTAAGCAAATGAAAAAACTTGATCTGGATGCGGATAGAAAACGAAAGGCAACCATAACGAATTGAGTTGTGAAAATGAGGGATAAAGAAAAAGAATTCAAGTCAGTTTTGAATAGCGGGGGACAAGCAATAAAGTTATTTATGTGTTCTATCTCATGAACACATGCTAATAAAATAACATATTAGAGATCAAAAGAAAATAGAGTTAGCATAGAGCGCATTTGGTACAACTTCGCTGCAAGTTTCACGGTTCCGATGTCTGTAAGAAGAAAGTCTCTAATTACAAGTACTAGAAAGATGGCTCGGGACTTTAGGTCCAAGCTATTCAAAAAGTTTATAGAGCCTTTGAAAGGTAGTTTTCAAACCTGTCGACTTCCGAAGTGGCAAGAAACTAATTCTCAGTTACGGCGGAGCAATGGAAGAAGTTTGTTGAGTACAGACTTACTCCGGAGCAGCAAGCCATTTCCCAAGCAGCCTTTGAAAGAAGAAAACTATGGGACTATGTGCACTTAAATTCCCGTGGGGGATATCAGAAAGCAGAGGCAGTATATGTACGTTTAAAATCAGTTTTCTTTGTCAAATTCAATAATTTTTTTTTTATTGTTATCTTCAATTAACCTTATCCTTGAATGCAGATGCGAGTCCACAATACAATGGTGCATCCCGATCGAGCTACTTTATTGAGGAGCTCGTCAAGTGGATTGTGAATTATATGAACTTTTTAGATATCATTGGGTGGAACATTTTTTGTCAAGAGAGAATCCTAAGGAACATTTCAATCTCAGGGGATGATGGATGTGTTGACAAAATCATTGGAAAACTCTGAACATTCAGGGTGTGTTCGTGGCCAATCCCAATTTGTTAAGTAATCTACGTACTTTCATTCCACTCGCGAGTCAAGCAGGGATGAGGAGGTGGCTTGCCTACGGAATCAGATCAATATGATGGAGGCAAAAATTGATGAATTTATGCGATCCCAAGGCCACACTCCTACACCTTTAGGAGAGGAAGTGGGAGCTTTGACTGTGGATCAAAGGCATTGTGTAAAGAAGAGTTGTACCATTCACACTTCAACACCATGAGTTTATAAACCGTCGTCTAATGTCTTATTTAACGACGGATAAAAGCTGTTGTTAAATCGTGCAACAATTTAACGACTCTTGATTAGACGGCGGTTCTCATAACCGTCATTTAATCTTTTAACGACGGTTATTAACGGTCGTTAAATCTCATATTTCTACTAGTGTATGAAAAATGAGAGCCTATAAGTTAACTATTAGTATATCAAATTTCAAGTTGACAAGTTATAAGGTGTTAAGAATTTCGTAGTTTGACATATTAAAAAAACAAAAAAAACAAAAAAAACTTTGCAAGGCAATAATGAGTAGAGTGTCGAGTTGATAACGTGCTATAAAATTAGGGGATTAGTATAAAACAGAAGTAAGGTAAATAAATGGAAGGTAAATAAATCAATGCAGAGATAAAATTTTCTTTTGTTGTTCTTGGCTCATTTTCTTTTCTCTCTCTATTTACACACTATCTTCTCTCTATATTTTCTCCTTTGCTTTATTTTCCTAGAATTCCTCTTCTGCTTGATCTTATATTTCTATGCAATTGAATGATCCTATTTGTAGATGAGAGCTATTCTTGTGATAGATCTCTAGGAGGCCTACAAGCAATTTTTTAAAGCTACTTGTGCCACCTCAGGTAAACACCAAAGTGTGTTAACTTGGTTCTTTTAGCTTCCTACTTTATCACCATGGTGGGAGCTTTATTCTCAAATATTATACACACAAACTTTTTTTTTTAGGATCCGTTTAATTCGTTGATTCAAATTGATAACGTGTTATATTTGGCGTCTCACTCATAATATCAATTTTTAGATTAATACAAAAAAGATTAAAAAGAAAGAATAAGTTAAGAAAAGGAAAAGGAAAAAAAAGGAAAAAAAAAAAGGTTCATGACGAAATGTTTTGTCAGTTTCGAAGCAAATACGGAGAAAGTATTCTCTTTATTAGTAAACACTAATAAGACTGTCTGTGATATTTTTTTAAATAATGATTATACAAATTGTTGGGGAAAGAAAAGGACAGAAGGAAAAAAATAAAGGGAGACAAAGAAGGGAAAGTTGTCTCTTTATTAGAATTCCTCTTCCGCTTGATCTCATATTTCTATGCAATTGAATGACCCAATTAATAGATGAGAGCTATTCTTGTGATAGATCTCTAGGAGGCATACAAGCAATTTTTTAAAGCTACTTGTGCCACCTCAGGTAAACACCAAAGTGTATTAACTTGGTTATTCTAGCTTCCTACTTTATCACCATGGTGGGAGCTTTATTCGCAAATATCATACACACAAGCTTTCATTCAAAGTCCGTTTAATTTGTTAATTCGAGTTGAGATTTAACTTTTTATGATATGATAAAGATATACGATCAAGTTGAGAAAGTCAAGGGAGAAAATCAAGGGATTTCCACGTTTAAATATCTTTTGTAATTATTTGTAATTATGTCATTTATTTGTATTATTAGATAGTTACTCAATTTGTTTTGTTTCCTATTTCTGTGCTCATGTTATCTGCATGTATGTTAACCACATCAATGAGAATAGTATGCCATAATTCTTCAATTTCTCTCTTTCTAAAATCCTTTATGGTATCAAAGCGGGTTGCTCTTTAATTTTTTTTCCAGCCACGTTCTTCAATCTTCAGCAAGCCTTTCATCCCCCTAATTCCAATGGCTAACGAGAATACTCAAATCATCCCTAATGCCCAGGAACCCACAAAACCACTAACCATGATTACTATCCATAACTCCATTAAACTCACACCCACCAACTATCTTTCTTGGAAAACCCAAATGGAAGCCATTCTCATTGGCTATGACCTACAAAAATTCCTTGATGGGTCCCACCCTGCTCCTCCAACCACCATCACCACCAATAATGCTGTTACCACTAATCCTGAATACCAAACATGGCTACGTCAAGACAAACTATTATTTGGAGCACTTGTCGGCACTCTCTCACCCAATCTAGTTCCTCTCATCACCCAATCTAAAACCTCCTATGAAGCCTAGCAAATACTCGCCAACACCTATGCTCGACCATCTCGTGGCCATATCAAGCAACTCAAAGGCCATATTAAAAACATCACCAAAGGCTCTCAGTCCATTACAGACTACATGCAGTCCATTAAAACCCGAGCAGATGAACTTGCTGCTCTTGGTAAGCCTCTTGACCATGAAGATCTGATTGAAAAAGTACTTAAAGGCCTTGATGAAAATTATCAGTCCATCATTGATGCTGTCAACGGTTGTGATTCCACCATTTCTTTTGATGAACTCCATGAAAAACTCATCAACAAAGAATTGTCTCTCCGCAATAAGATAAGCCCCTCACCCCTACCGGCATCTGCTCATGCCACCAATGTTCGCTCCACTCCATGGTCTGTCACCAATCGCACTCCTCGGCTCCCTGGGTCCACTTCCATACCCACTCAAGGTATCATAAGAAATTCTTCCACTGACACCCGCGCCAACTGTCCTCATGCTCGTCCATTCCTTGGTCGCTGCCAATGGTGCAGTACTCAAGGTCATGTAGTCTCACGCTGTCCTCTTTTTCGTCAACAGTTTCCGCATGTGCAACCACCTCCTCGTCCCCGTAATTCATCACAATCTCGACCACCGGCTCCCTGGTAAGCTCAAGCAAATGTTGCAACCACCCTTCCCCTCAACACCACATGGCTACTTGATAGTGGCGCCTCACATCATGTCACCACTGACCTACATAATCTTGCTCTCCACAGTCCTTATGATGGCACAGATGAAATTATGGTCGGCGATGGCTCTGGTCTCCCCATATCTCACACTGGTTCCACCTCTCTTACCACTCCCTCTCACTCCTTTACTCTATCTAATGTTTTATGTGTTCCCACCATGAAATGTAATCTTATTTCTATTTCTCAATTTTGTGAGTCTAACAATACTTCCATTGAGTTCTTACCTTCTTCTTTTCATGTGAAGGATCTTCGCATGGGGGCAATCCTTTTGCAGGGTCAGACTAAAGATGGTGTGTATGAATGGCCACTCTCCACTACCCAGTCACCTTTAATTGCGTTTTCTAGTGTCAAGACCACTTTGAGTACCGATAATTTCACACCCGGTACAAGTTTTATACTGCTTTTCTAGACTGTCGAGTACCCTGGGTCAAACTTCTCATGTTCAACCCAATTCTCTTGGGTATCTCATTAGTCAATTTCTTTTTCTGAAATTATCATTTTAATTGATTTAGAATTGCCCAAAACGCGTATCCTTACGGTACTCATTTTTTAGCAGTTTCCTGCTTAAACTGACTCGGGAAAATTCTGTTTCAGGAACTTTTGCTATTTTTCTTACTTCTAATATTTCTACTTTTTTTTAGCTGGTCATTTGGTCACATACCAAATATTTCAGTTTTTCATAACTAAAATATACCCGCTAAAATTTCTAACTTTGAACTAATATCTCACTATTCATTCTTAACAATCAACAGGGTCTCACATCTTACTTCTCCACCTCACACTCCTGAACACAATGGGTACTCTGAACGTCGTCATCGTCACATTGTCGAAACGGGTCTTTCTCTCCTTACACATGCATCCATGCCTCTATCATATTGGCCTTTTGCCTTTTCTACTGCCGTCTACCTCATCAATCGCCTTCCTACACCAACTCTAAATCATCTTTCACCATATCTCAAACTCTTTGGCACACTCCCTAACTACTCCAAACTTCGAAGCTTTGGATGTCTCTGCTATCCTTGGCTTCGCCCATACACATCCAACAAACTCGAGTCTCGTTCCTCTCCTTGCGTATTTGTCGGGTATTCTCCCACTCAAAGTGCCTATCTATGTCTTGACACATCCACCGCTCGTCTATACACTTCCCGTCATGTCCGCTTTGTCGAGTCAATTTTTCCCTTTGCCACTTCTTATACTTCTCTTCCTTGCGCCACTTCATCCACCATCTCTGAATGGTGCTCTATGACTTTACCAGTCGTGGCCACACCATCCATGAATGCCGGCTCTGTTCCCCCATCAGGTCTGCTCACTCCTACCACCCCAAGCCAACCCCAACACCCAAACCAAAATAATACCACCTGTGCCACACCTACACCAGAGCCCGACAACCATTCCAGTGCGCCCGTGCCAGAACTCTTACCCTCACCTCGTGTCATAGTCACTCACTCCAAACGTAACATCTATAAACCAATTCAAAAGCTTAACCTCACTGCCCAACTCCAACAACCTACCACCCTTGAACCCACCACTGTTACCCAAGCCCTCAAGGACCCAAAGTGGCGACAAGCTGTGTCTGAAGAGTTTGACGCCTTACTACGTAATGGGACATGGGACCTAGTGCCATCTCATCCCAGTCAAAATTTGGTTGGTTGTAAGTGGATCTTTCGCACTAAATATTTACCTAATGGCTCCATAAACAGGTACAAAGCTCGATTGGTTGCTAAAGGCTTCCACCAACGCCCTGGAATTGACTACTCTGAAACCTTCAGTCTAGTCATCAAACCTACCACTGTCCGTCTTGTTCTCAGCCTTGCGGTCAGCCAGGGTTGGTCACTCAGACAACTTGATGTCAACAATGCCTTTCTTCAGGGCACTCTCACTGAGGATGTGTTTATGTCTCAACCTCCAGGCTTCATTGATCGCGATCATCCTCATCATGTCTGCAAGCTACGCAAGGCTATCTATGGCCTCAAACAAGCTCCGCGTGCTTGGTATCATGAGTTGCGCCAATTTCTTCTCCAATTTGGCTTCACCAATTCTATTGCCGACACCTCCTTGTTCATCTTCAACAACCGTGGCACCATCCTTTATCTTCTAGTCTATGTCGACGATATCATTATCACTGGGAATAATGTCGAAGCAGCGCAGACTTTCATTCAACAACTTTCTCAGCGCTTCTCTCTCAAGGACCTTGGCCCCCTGACATACTTCCTTGGAGTGGAAGTTACCTCCCACCCCAATGGTCTTTTCCTCAGTCAACGCAAATACATTGCCGATCTACTTAACAGAACTCACATGGCTGAAGCCAAGCCTGCTTCTACACCACTAGCAACTAGTCTGATTTCACTTTACAATCCGGAATCCCACTATCTGACCCGACCGAGTATCGAACCGTTGTT